GGGCATGGTCCTGTTACGAAACCCTGTGACGCAGACGGATAGAGGGCAGCGGCTGCCAAAGCATCGAAACGTGCAAAAAACGTATGGCGAGCCAGGAAACGGGATTTTTCAAGGGGAGGGGACTCCGGGTGGGTGAGCTACTTACAGTCGGTGAAAAGCTGAAGTCACAACGGCCATAGAGTGCCATGCGGACGAGAGAGTGCAGAGAAAAAGAGAAGATCGACGCGTCCAAAGGGATTGAGTTCAAGTTGTCCGTAGACCGGTTGAAGGATACCAAAGTGTAGGCTGGTATCCACGTGCGCGGCATTCGTGCCAGAAAGCACGCGTCACAGCAACATGGGTCTCTCGAGCAGCGAATATGCAAGACTGCCCCTTTGAAACCCTTGTAGCAGATTGCAATGACATCCTGTACGAAACTTGCAAACAACAATAATCAGTAAAGATTCTACGAAACCTTAGCTCGTTTCCTGTGTTCTCCCTCTTCCTCACGTGATGCCGGGCTGACTGATCTTCAATAGAAGTATCTTTTTCACTAAGACGGCAGAATCTAAAGTTTAGAAAATAGAGCTGGAAAATAGAACTGTCGAAACCAGTCGAACTGTGAGACTCATTTTGAAAGAGCTACGGAAAATGTAATACTTTGGAAGGTCCACGCCATCGGGGAGAGCCATTTTCAATTTTATGGGTGTCTTTGTTGACATCTCCATAAAACTCAGCAAAGAGCTCAGGAACTGGCGCAGATCGGGTACAGACTAGAACAAAAACTATGAAAACGCAGTCTAATGCAGACGAGAAACAATAGAAATACACGGACGGTCAAGACAATCTTAATCAGTCGCTTTGTCGCGCGCGGTGATATGTTGGCTATTTTTGGCGAGACACTGTCTACTGTCGTCATCTACGATCTAGAAACATTGCCATTAGAAAGCGCGACGCACGATAGCGCGGCGAATCACGAATGTCTTGTCCCATACCCCTCTACTGACCCACCTGAATATCTCCTCCTTGATCACTGAAAGCAAAGTTGAGAAAAAATTGTAGACCTCTGTGACCAAAAATCTCCACAGCTTCATACTGCTTTAGTGATTTGTACTGCTGTGGCAGAATAACATAATACATCCATCTTGTGTAGAACAAACGATATTGGACACGATCAGCTTTCGGAACTAAATTTTTCTTCGCAAAAGGCGGATGTAAAAAAGGACAAAAGACAAATACGTGAACATACCAGCAGCGAGATAAACCATAGGACTAGGAATCTTCCATGTATTTATAATCGTCAACAGCTTAGATGCACAATCGAGATTATTTTGAATATTTCTGAAATTGATGATGAAATTACCACCCTAAAAGTATCGGCGCTAGGTGCCGCTGCTGGGGGGGGGGGGGGCAGGGATCTGCGGCTTTTGGACAACCTTACAGTAGCCCGCGATTATTGAGGAAGGACACGGCTTCTATCAAGGATATTCCCTCGTTGCGAGGTCCAGCGGTATTTTCTCACCGTGTCTGTTGGACCAGTGTTGAAGGAAGATGAAAGGGAAGAGAAAGGAAGGAG